ACGGCGCTTGTAACGCCAGGGTAGTGGGTTCGATCCACGGGACCACCCATACACAAAAAAATAATAATGTGTGCACGCATGACTGTAAGTAGTCTGCTAAATGGCATATTATTATATTATTACTGTTCAAGGTGCTAAAGTTAAGTGAAGCTCCCTGTTCAAAGAACTGAAGTCATAAGTGACACTCACTGTCCAAGGTGCTGAAGTTATAAATAACGCTCCCTGCCCAAGGTGCTGAAGTTACATTTTGTTGCTTTCCTGCGATATTTTATGTTAAAAAATGTATCTTTTCACAGTTTAACTGTTGTTGTTGTTATGGGTGAGGTTGTTATTTTACTGTTGATAGGAGAAGGCAAGAATTAGGTCATTCTAAGTGTGAGTGATTCTCTATGAACTGCATGTGACGCAATTGAAGAAATGATCTGTGTAAAGGGCCTTAGAGAGAGGGCACCAGAGGAAAGTAAACAGATAATCACATTTTATGGAAATAATTTTATGGAAATAATTCATCCAAATACAAAGAAAGTTATAGTAGGGGAAAGTTATACTTGCCTACGTGGATATTTTATTTCACATTAAATCTAATTAAATCTCAATCGAATAATATTATTGGTTATTCTTTAATTATTAATCCAAATAAAACTAGGAGGCGCCACTCATTGATCCTCTAACTTTCATCAACATGAAAGGATATATGGCGCTAGACTAAACTTAAATGCATTTCAATCTGATGACGGATGCGGTTGTAACCTGAGTGGCATTGGCTTTGACGTTAGACAGATGTTACCTCAAGATGAAGTCCCACACCATAGTCTTTCTTGAATCCGACGACATTTCAGCTTATGTTCTCGACGCTTCGGAAAGCACCAATTTAATGAACCTTTTGGAAAGTATGTTATGCAGATTCACCTCACATGTCCACATCCCTTTTGGAGAGGCTACAGGGAGCTGAATGAGGCATGATCTGCCGCAAACAAGTTAGTCTTAGCAGAAAACACTCATCTGGCTACACCTCCCTCTCCTGATTATTTTTTGCGATGAGGACATATGCGACATCAGTGCTATCTATATATATCCCTGGATTTATATGATGCAACGTTTTCTTGAATTGTTTTTGGATCAGCGTCTCATGCCTTGCCTGTCAGATGCTGATATTCAGTTACCTGTTTCTCCTAATGAATTGGGACAAGACTCCTTCCTATTGCGCAATTCATACCGCAGAGTTAGGGAGGTGAAAGGAGTAATGGCCCCACTAGTATTCTGCCAGCAGCACAAATTATGACGTCACTTTCATATGGTAATGAGGAAACCTTCAAAATAAAACCCCACCAGTTTCAACATCATTTTCATTCAGCCATGAAGACATCAATGTCACAGTCCATAACATTCACCATTTACAGTATATTTAATGCCAGGGTGATTAAAATTAAAATTTGCCATAACAAAGGATAGACTTCTAAGCCATTATATGCCATTTTATGTTTGTAAAGGGGTTCCCTTACATTCCTGCATACTGTATGAGGTTGAAAAGTGTCGGAATTGCCCTTTAATAATGAAATTATATTTAAATATACAGTACCAGTCACACCTACTCATTCAAGGGGTTTTCTTTATTTTTACTATTTTCTACATTGTAGAATAATAGTGAAGACACCAAACTATGAAATAACACATATGGAATCATGTAGTAACCAAAAAAGTGTTAAACAAATCAAAACATATTTTATATTTAAGATTCTCAAAAGTAGCCACCTTTTGCCTTGATGACAGCTTTGCACACTCTTGGCATTCTTTCAACCAGCTTCATGAGGTAGTCACTTGGAATGCATTTCAATTAACAGATGTGCCTGGAATTTATTTCCTTAATGCGTTTGAGCCAATCAGTTGTGTTATGACAAGGTAGGGGTGGTATACAGAAGATAGCCCTATTTGGTAAAAGACCAAGTCCATATTATGGCAAGAACAGCTTAAATAAGCAAAGAGAAATGACAGTCCATCATTACTTTAAGACATAAAGGTCAGTCAATCTGGAAAATTTCAAGAACTTTGAAAGTTTCTTCAAATGCCACAGGAAACTGCCACAGGAAAGGAAGAACCCAGAGTTACATCTGCTGCAGAGGATACGTTCATTACAGTTACCAGCCTCAGAATTTGCATCCCAAATAAATGCTTCACAGAGTTCAAGTAACAGACACATCTCAACATCAACTGCGTGAATCAGGCTGCAAAGAAACCACTACTAAAGGACACCAATAAGAAGAAGAGACTTGCTTGGGCCAAGAAACACGAGCAATGGACATTAGACCGGTGGAAATGTGTCCTTTGGTCTGGAGTCCAAATTTGAGATTTTTGGTTCCAACTGCCGTGTCTTTGTGAGATGCGAAGTAGGTGAACGGATGATCTCTGCATGTGTGGTTTCCACAGTGAAGCATAGAGGAGGAGGTGTGATGGTGTGGGGGTGCTTTGCTGGTGACACTGTCGGTGGTTTATTTAGTATTCAAGGCCCACTTAACCAGCATGGATACCACAGCATTCTGCAGCGATACGCCATCCCATCTGGTTTGCGCTTAGTGGGACTATCATTTGTTTTTCAACAGGACAATGACCCAACACAACTCCAGGCTGTGTAAGGGCTATTTGACCAAGAAGGAGAGTGATGGAATGCTGCATCAGATGACCTGGCCTCCACAATCACCTGACCTCAACCCAATTGAGATGGTTTGGGATGAGTTGGAACGCAGAGTGAAGGAAAAGCAGCCAACAACTGCTCAGCATATGTGGGAACTCCTTCAAGACTGTTGGAAAAGCATTCCAGGTGAAGCTGGTTGAGAGAATGTCAAGAGTGTGTAAAGCTGTCATCAAGGCAAAGGGTGGCTACTTTGAAGAAAAATATAAAATACACATTTTTTTGGTTACTACATGATTCCATATGTGTCATTTCATAGTTTTGATCTCTTCACTATTATTCTACAATGTAGAAAATAGAAATAAATTAAGAGAAACCCTTGAATGAATAGGTGTGTCCAAACCTTTGACTGTTACTGTATATTTGTTATTTATTTAATGTAGTGGTGGGCACCAATTTTGATAACTCGATATGATATCGATATTGTTTGATATCAATATGAGCAAGGCATATCGTGATATTGGTTTATTCTTCACTGTTCTGTAAAAAAGCTTACATAACTGTTCCTGCATGCTCAATGCCCTCTCACAGACCTTCTCACAGGCTGCTTAGCATTCTTTAAAAAACTAACGCTAAAAATAAAACAGGCTCCTTAGCATACTTAGTTGCCTGCTGATGGGCCATCGACAGTGGATGGGCTTCCGATTGTATTTAAAACTAGTTAGGTAGGTTTATGCCACCATAACAAACCTGGCCCAGTGGGAAATCCGCAAGCAGTTGTCTGGACTTCACAGAAAAGTGAACATTCAACACAGTTGCAATGTATTATTCTACAAACCGATATATCAATATCGAATCGAAAAATGCAACTGATGTCGATATAGATTTTCCGTATCGGTGCCCATCACTAATTTAATGACTTTATTCAATGAGTGATTGAAACGAATCATGCATTTTTACCTGAAACAGTTTATGAAATTGGGGACTGAAATGAATGTGTTAGACCGTGAATTACACTAGTGTGTTAGACCGTGAATTAACTGACACATTTTATTAAATAAATTGCAGTGCTTCTCAGAATTTTTGATCTTTCAACTGTCATTGTTGATTATCTCATGTAAACTCAGAAAATACCTTTGCTGACCTTGATAGATAATCATCATAATATAAATTGTAAAATGATCTTGCCTCTGTTATTGTTTTTGAAAACTAGACAAATGTGCTGCTGGGTATTTAGACCACAGTCCCCCATGAAATGACACCATATATAGGTTCTACAGACCCTACTGAGTATTCTTAACCCCACTTTTACTTCGGCACATATAATATTTTTTCTCTATAAACCAAAATGTAATTCATATACAATGTATTGCATTGCAGTGAATGGAGTGGGTGGAGTAAGGAGTCACCAGCACTCTGTAATAAACCCATTGCCCAGACTTATTTAAGTTTAGCAGACTCTATTGAGTAATTTCAATTCCAACTACATATATTTGTATTTTATGAAAGTGTATTTCTTTAAATATAGTCTACACAATAGCTTTCAACATACCAGTATTGGTGTAAACCTTCTAAATAAATGTTGGTATAAATAAAACAATATTACAAATAAATGTACGTCAAATTATGCAATGCTGTGAAAAACAATTGTACTGCACTAGAATGCTAAAAATATATTCCCAAAGTTTAGCATGTCTTTGCAGGGGGACTCTTATTTTGAAAAAAAGACATCTGTGATCTTGCTGCCAGCATAATATCCTGCTGCTAGGAGAACAGTAATAGGGGAACCTCTGCACCAAAATGAGGCAAGACTCTCTCTCTCTCTCTCTCTCTCGCTCTCTCTCGCTCCCTATCCCCTCACAGCATAACATATATGATTTTTATACCACATGGCTCTAACAGGTTCTCTTTCCCGTAAACCATACTGTACGTGGCATTGGCTCCAACCCGGAGGAGAGGATTGCTTGTGGTTGCTGCATCAATGGCACACACAACTATGACAAGAGTTGTTTCATTGATTGAAAAACATTTTGAGGACTGCATTTTTCTCACGGAGAGCAGACAAATCACAGCCATTGTGTGCATGCAGGAGAAGCTGCAGTGATCAACAACAAATCGAATGTATAAATTGGAGGGACTAGCTGTTGATTCACAGCTGAAGGCGCACCAGAATCTTCTTTTCCAGCTTTGACAATTAAAATGTGTAGGCTACTATAATGATTTTATTACACACTTGAAGGCTATCATGGATTATATGGTTTACTTAAAAACAATACTGCTAAGACTTCATTGGATAATATTCATTGTATGGTGAGTGGAGGATATAGAATTTTCTCCTGGGACGTTTTGTCATCACCAAGCCGCCAAACTGGCTATGGCCGCGGCGATCGCCAGCTCCCTCATTCGGCAGAAGAGGCAGGCGAGGGAGCGGGAGAAGGCGAATGCCTGCCGCTGCGCAAGCAGTCCGGATAATTGCAAAGCAGGGGACAGGGGACCCTGTGAGAAACCGAGCAAGCTGAACGTGTTCTCACGCGTCAAACTCTTTGGCTCTAAGAAACGGAAGAGAATAAGGCGACCAGGTGTGCTCTTGAGTGTGATCTTTCGAACTTAACACAAAAACTGTCATCATCACCATCATCATCATCAGCGGTGTAGTGGTGCCTGGAGAAGTGGGTATACTTTAATTTTGCCAATAATTTCCCAAACAGTCAGCCTGGCGAAGGAAAGGTGCCCTGTGTGAAAAATTCAATGAGAAACAGTGACATACACTCTGAATTACCTAAAATGATAAATCCCATATTGATCTTTCACAGTCAGGCCAACCCAAGCTGTACTGTGCATGTAGGATAATAGTAGGCCTACTATTGAAACAGAAAAATGAGGCTGTCAACTGAGTCAGAATTTACAGGTTTCGGTTTTTCCCCATTTTCTTCAGGTTTTTGGTCTCAAAGTCACACTTTTTTAATAGAAGGCAACAAAAGTGGATGTTCTAAGTCGATAACAATGCTTAAACCACATCAGGAGACCACTTTTGAGGTTTGGGAGCAATCTAAGACTTTTAGATTTTTAAGTGTAGTTACCCTTTAATTCAAGTGTGCAGGCACCTAGCACTGTTGTTTGGTTAGTGGTGTTTCTGTAGCACATGAGATGGAGTTGGCAAAACATTTTTGCCAATGGATTGATGCAAATAATCATGATATCATTCTGCCAGGTAGGCATAGGCTACTTTGTAGCTAGTTAATATTTAATTGAGAAGGTTTTTGGGAAAGCCTTTCCATCTACCAGAAGACGGTTAGGCCTATCATTAGAATCGTTATATATTTCCTGTTCCTTAATTGTTTGAAACCTGGACGTTTTACTTCATATTATGAGGCATGTCTTACCTTGCTTCAAAGTAGCCTATAGCCAAAATCCCACCATTAGAAACGTGGAGGCAATTATTTTATAAAGACGTACTCATATGCGTTCTCCTGTTCAATTGGTTTTCTTACAACTGTCTTTCATTGTCTAGCAGCCAAAGGCATTATTCTAGTCATATTAGTGACCCATGATAGTTGTTGCATCTTTAGATCTTCCCTCTTTCAAAATTTCTGCTCACATGTGCAGTGTGCATTTTAGAATGGTATTTATCCACAAATTGCATTTTGGAACATTTGCACATAGGCCTACCACTGTGTGCACATTTCTGCACCTAAAATGTGAAGAAATAATAGTTGATCAACATTTTAAGCTAAACATTCTGATCTGTTCCATCAACTTTATTAATTGATATGCGTATACCTGCAATACACTACTTTGATATGCATCGTGGGGATTAAGAAGTGAGTATACACAATGCCCACTGAAAAATAAGTTGGTATACAGCGTATACCTGCGTATACCCTCCACTACACCACCGATCATCACCACGAACACAAACAGCACCACTTCTATCCTATCCCACTTTAAATGTGAAGATCTTGGAGCAATGACACCTCTGTCCAAATGGTGATATTATAGCATAAAAATACCTTATTTGACTATTTATTCCATCAAACTCTGGTGATTCTGAAAGTCCATGCACTCATCAATTCATTACCTCACTCTAACACTTAAGACACCAGCAATACATTCAGTGCCATTATTGGATAAGTGCGCAACACCTTCACACTGCCATGCTTCTGTTGTGCATGATATTATCATCTAAACAAGAATGCAATTCAAACTACATTGTCCCGTATCCAGACAGATAGAGCACCTGTTTTTGAATCTATGAATTAGCTTTTTCTTGCACGGCCGGCCACCACTATCCCAGGTACCCATCACACTGTCTGGGTTTGTGCCATAGTGTGATGTCTATGGGATGCCTGAGGTTCCCCGGATAGTTTACTACTGACTGTGAAGCAGTGGCAAACTAGTAGCGTTGGACTATAGACTTGGCATATGTCCAATCTCTCCTCCCCTCCTCTCTTCCCCGTTCTCACGTTCTGCCCTGTCGTCTCCACAGAGCCCCAGCTCAAGGGGATAGTGACGAGGCTGTACAGCCGCACAGGATTCTACCTTCAAATGCAAGCTGATGGAACCATCGACGGAACCGAGGATGAGGACAACAGCTATGGTAGGACTATGTGCATTTGACTGTGTTTTTGCCTTTAATTCATTCAGATTTGAGATTATTGTTATATAGAATTCAAGAAGAAATGTAGCCTTGACTTTTTTGCTCAACGTTTCCTGTAGCTGTATTTTCACTATTACATATTGAGTATAATGTTACAGTATACTACGCACCCTCTCTCTATTGTATTCCACATTGCAGCTGTGTTCAACCTCATTCCTGTTGGGCTGCGAGTTGTGGCCATCCAGGGGGTTCAGACCAAACTCTACCTGGCCATGAACAACGACGGCTTCCTGTATACCTCTGTGAGTCTCCTTCCTTCTCCACCACAACATTGGGTCTCCTACATGCTAAACGCAGGTTGTATATCACAGTATAGTAATTACCTGTGTTACTGAGCTAGTTGATTACATTGAAGGTCACCTTAACTGCCATGTTAATAATATTTAAGCATCATTTGTTGGTTTGAAAACCCAAGTTGGTTCCATTTGTTGGTGTGTTTATGTCCCCATTGGTAACCTGGGGGGCATCTTATTGAGAGGGCTGGTTTGTATTCTGGGCGAGACACATGAGTATGGAAATGCTAATGTTAATCCTCTCAAGTTGTTATTGTTTTAGCTCTGGTAAGGTTATTTAGCAATCTGCATGGAAAAATACAGCATGGACTGAATTTCAAACACCATTTAGATTAATTCTGTTTATTTAAATTGCCTAAAGCCTAGCCTAGCCGTTTGTGTGTGTGTGTGATTGGGTGTGTTTGTGTGGTCACCATGAACATTGGTGTCACTGGATATCTCTTGCCAGAATGTGGTTTTGTATCGATCATTGCCGATGAAAATATTGATCTTTGTCTGGCAATTGAATGAATCAGTGTTTTCATACTGTGCAGTTTAAAATCAGCTCTCATCCACAATCTGTGCAAGCTGTGGGAGTGATGGATGGCTCATGGTGGCTCCAAAAATCAGAGATTCCCATCCTAGGCATGTTCACACAGTATGGCAAGCGAGTTCAATTCAGCTCATCAGTTAACTGAGGTTTTTGCAACTCAGTTCTGAAAGTGAACAGTGGTAGGGGATCTCTTATTGTAGATTTGCTGCCGGGCACTGTGTGGCTGGCTTATCCTGACTTGTAAGCTGTGCACGTAAAAGGTTCCCAAGCATAGAAATGGAATTGGTCCGAACTGCCTTTTAGCTCAGTCTTCTGTGCCGCTTTTGACCAATTCCATCAGTGTTTCAGTCCAGTTAGTTGTTCCATCCCTTCTGTCTTCATTTACTCCCCTTTGGGCATTTGATATGAATGGAGAGCCTAGGACCTAGGTGATAGTGAAATGGCTGAAATTAGGTGGCTATTTCTTTCTTTCTCTCTGTCTGTCCATCTCTGTTTCTTCTCTCTTTATGTTGTCTCACATTTACACTCCTGTCTTTCTCTCTTCGCTGTCTCCCTCTTTAGGAACACTTCACCCCAGAGTGTAAGTTCAAGGAGTCAGTGTTTGAGAACTACTACGTGACCTACTCCTCCATGATCTACAGACAGCAGCAGTCGGGCAGGGCCTGGTACCTTGGCCTCAATAAAGAGGGGGTCATCATGAAGGGCAACCACGTGAAGAAGAATAAACCAGCGGCCCACTTCATCCCTAAACCACTAAAAGGTGAGTGGTCCTTTTTCTGAGAGGCTTTGTGTTTGTCTTTGTGTATCTGTGTTGAAGTCTGTTGGGGGAACCCTAAAGTGTCTCGTTAGAAAGACTCACCCTAGTATATTGTTGCGTTTTACAGCATAATGTTTGTCAAAGGCATGACCTCTGCATAATCAGTGTTGGGGAAGCTACTCTGAAAATATAGTTTACCAAGCTACCAATTACTTCACACTAGAAGAAGTTAAGATACACTAAAACGACCCTTAAGAAACATATAGTTTACTTAACTAAACTACCACCAAGCTACAGCTAAATGTAATTACTACTCCCCAACACTGTGCATAATACAGACAACCAGACTTTATCTTTACCAAACTTGATCCCCTCTCTGCCTCTTTGTCTTCCAGTTGCCATGTACAGAGAACCGTCTCTCCATGATCTGACAGAGTTCTCCCGCTCCGGCAGCGGTACTCCCACTAAGAGCCGCAGTGCATCGGCCCTGCTGAACGGAGGAGGGAAGCCGCTGAGCCAGAACGAGCAGTCCACATAGCTGTGGGGATCAGCCTCGGACAGAGGGCGGCTCTCACAGTCTTACAGTAAGCAGACTCAACTGATCCTCATCAAACTGAACAGGTGGAGAGGAAGGACATTTACTTAGCTTAGTGTGTACTGAAACCACTGTGACAGACTATGACATCATCAATTAAATAAATCCATGAGCTTCTGCGGGTCAACTTTGCTATGAACTTCGATACAAAAAGCCTAAACCATTTTGCTGGTCTGGAGTTTATATTCTTTCTTGGATTATTCTTGAGCATATGTAGTGTATTACACATGTATATCTCTCCAAGGGTCTTGAGAGGGAGAGTTACTGGCCAGTAATTATGTGGTCTGTGATCTGTTGCTTCCATGCCTCCTAAAAAAGCAATTTCTTTGTGTTTGAGTCCAAGAAAAGTGTACATATCTGCAAGCCTTCTGCCTCGGTCTGACTATCTGCCATATACATTGCTTGCAAGTGATACCAATTGCGTTCATTTGTTCCTGTGTACCAAAGACTCAAACGTGTTTCTCTGGTTTTGCTCAAGACAAAGAAGTCTGAAAAACTGTGTACTAATCGTACTACATACTATTTAGAACATACTGTTTTTAAAAATGTATATAGTAAGCAACACATATCAACATACTAGGCTCACCCATACTGAGAATGCATCATCTAATGCACAGTTGCGTTGTTTTCCACCATTAATTAATTTTTGTACAATTCTTCCCCTTATCTGATCATCAGCTGTTGCCAAACACATGTGGGTCTGAAAGATTCTCTTTCTCAATAGCATGCAGCGAATTCGTACTAGATGAAAAGTTGAAATGATTATGACATCGTGGCATTTAAAGCATATAACATTTTCGAAATGTCACATACTAATAAAACTTTCTTTAGAACGCAAGTAGACTATGAGTAGGCTACGGGTAATCGGACACGACCAATGTGTGGTTTATAGCGACTTGTTTTGACAGACCCTCTCTGTTTCTCTATAGTGTTTAAAGAGTCCGTTTCCATCTTCATTTATTACATCCGAAGCCTAATTAGAGACCTCTGTTTGTGAGATCTTGTTGTTTAAATACTTACATCAACCCTTTTACAGTCATTAGTAGGCTCCTTTTACATTCTAGATGACATAACAAACCATAAATGTACTTTCATATTGTATTTAGATCTGTTTAGTCATTTGTTTGCGTGTATGTGTATTAAGTGCTTGCGTGCGTGTATGTGGAAGGATAATAACATAATCCTTGATTTTGTAATGTACAATCAAGTGGGGATTATTAGTGAAATTGAGGGCTCTTCCAGATAAAATGATTGTATGTATTCTCCTGCATAGTTTTTTCCTTCCCTGAGGCCAAATACACTGAACAAAAATATAAACACAACCTGCAACAATTTCTAAGATTTTACTGAGTTACAGTTCATATAAGGAAATCAATCAATTGAAATAAATTAATTAGGCCCTGATCTATGGATTTCACATGACTGGGAATTCAGATATGCATCAGTTGGTCACAGATACCTTAAAAAAAAAAAGGTAGGGGCGTGGATCAGAAAACCAGCCAGTATCTGGTGTGACCACCATTTGCCTCATGCAGGGCAACACATCTCCTTCGTATAGAGTTGATCAGGCTGTTTATTGTGGCCTGTGGAATGTTGTCCCACTCCCCTTTAATGGTAGTGCAAAGTTGCTGGATATTGGTGGGAACTGGAACACGCTGTCGTACACGTCGATCCAGAGCAAACCAAACATGCTCAATGGGTGACATGTCTAGTGAGTAGGCTGATTTTCAGCTTCCAGGAATTGTGTACAGATCCTTTCGACATGGGGCCATGCATTATCATGCTGAAACATGAGGTGATGGTGGCATATGAATGGCACGACAATGGGCCTCAGGATCTCATCACGGTATCTCTGTGCATTCAAATTGGCCATCGATGAAATGCAATTGTGTTCATTGTCCATAGTTTATGCCTGCCCATACCATAACCCCACCGCCACCATGAGGCACTCTGTTCACAACATTGAAATCAGCAAACCGCTCGCCCACACAACGCCATACATGCTGTCTGCCATATGCACGCAGATGAGCTTCCCTGATATGGTTTCTGACAGTTTGTGCAGAAATTCTTCGGTTTTGCAAACCCACATTTTCATAATCTGTCCGGGTGGCTGGTCACAGATGATCCCGCAGGTGAAGAAGCCGGATGTGGAGGTCCTGGGCTGGTGTGAGGCCAGTTGGACTTACTGCCAAATTCTCTAAAACAACGTTCGAGGCGGCTTATTTTAGAGAAATGAACATTAAATTCTCTGGCAACAGCTCTGGTGGACATTCCTGCAGTCAGCATGCCAATTGCATGCTCCCTCAAAACTTGAGACATATGTGGCATTGTGTTGTGTGACAAAACTGCACATTTTAGTGGCCTTTTATTGTCCCCAGCACAAGGTGCACCTGTGTAATGATCATGCTGTTAAATCAGCTTCTTAATATGCCACACCTGTCAGGTGGATGGATTATCTTGGCAAAGGAGAAATGCTCACTAACAGGGATGTAAACACATTTTTGAACAACATTTGAGAGAAATAAGCTTTTTGTGCGTATGGAACATTTCAGGGATCTTCTATTTCAGCTCACGAAACATGAGACCAACACTTTACATGTTGCGTTTATATTTTTGTTCAGTATAGATGCTGATGTCTATCATTTGGTTTGATTTATTGATTTATTGACAATATTATTGCATGGGAGACTGTGGACCTCTGGGAAATAGCAGCATGATGTACTACTGTAGGTCTACAGTGCTTATTATCAACCTGTTTTTGACCCTGTGCTCCAGTCTGTACCAGTCTACAAGTGAATGATCCAGAGCACAGATACACTTTTCATCTGGTAACTTCTTCCAGTATGTTATTTGTTGTTCTAATGAAAATGCACTGAATAAAATGTTTATAAGGAAATACGATTTTTGTCAAGTGCTTAGGCTGTCCCTGTCTTCTGCTTGTTGATACTAGTGGCCCCACCCCAGCTATGAAAGGGTTAAACTGCTGTCATCAGTACTAATACTGAGACTACAATATCCTGGGTGTAAAATGTCCATCCATCTATTATGAATGGGCTAGCTAGATCATCTTCAATGAATCCTTAGGGAACTGATAAACCCATCTTCGTGTGGTGCTAAAACTGAAAGGCCATTAACATTGATGGTAATGCCTCACATGTTGAAATCCAAGGCCATCTCAGCAGGAGAGTGAGCCAATCACGCCAGAGTGGAGCACAACTCTAGAGCTCTGCTTGAGATGGCATAGACCTCAGTACAAACAGCATTATAAATGTGAGTTCCCACAAACCGAGAAAGAGAAGGTGCAGGAGAAATTGTGCAGACTGAAAGAAATTGGTAGAGCATGTCTATTCGCCATAGAAAGAAAGAAATGCAGTACACGTGGGGAGAGCCCTTCAGTGCAGTGAGGGTGGAGAAAGCATACAGATGTAAGATCCTAATTTGAGATAGTTTTCTACAGCAGGAAAATAATCCTGCAGCAATAGGAAATGTGTCATGTTTATTGGCTGTGAGCCCTGATTACTCCAGAGGGTTGTGAATTATTGTATGGATTATAATTAATGGACATTGTTTGTAGGGGTTGATCCATTTTTCTTTGGGCAAATCAAGTCTGAAAGCTTTTTAAAATCTTGAATACACTATTAAGTTAGCATTTCCTGCTGTGCAGGAATATTCTCAGCAACAAAAGAGTGATCAAATGAAGATCCTACATCTGTAAAAGCATAAGTTGCACATGGTCAAGACCACAGGGACTGACTGACAGTCATGAAACAGGAGGTACCACTGGGCTCATAGACCTCCTGCATTTTGATTGATTATAGTATTGATGACAACACAGAGTACAGTGCACATCCTTGACAGCAATCAATAGATGGACCTAGAGCCCTGGGTTCAAGGATAAGGTAAACATGCATAACAGGCCAGAGCAGTCAATATTAGCCCACTCTTATCAATCACTCTGGAAGGGTCAATGAAGAGTCAAATGGTCAAATCAAATCAAATCAAATTGTATTGGTCACATGCGCCGAATACAACAGGTGCAGACATTACAGTGAAATGCTTACTTACAGCCCTTAACCAACAGTGCATTTATTTTAAACAAAAAAGTAAAAATAAAACAACAACAAAAAAAGTGTTGAGAAAAAAAAGAGCAGAAGTAAAAAATAAAGTGACAGTAGGGAGGCTATATATACAGGGGGGTACCGTTGCAGAGTCAATGTGCGGGGGGCACCGGCTAGTTGAGGTAGTTGAGGTAATATGTACATGTGGGTAGAGTTAAAGTGACATATGCATAAATACTTAACAGAGTAGCAGCAGCGTAAAAAGGATGGGGTGGGGGGGGCAGTGCAAATAGTCTGGGTAGCCATGATTAGCTGTTCAGGAGTCTTATGGCTTGGGGGTAGAAGCTGTTGAGAAGTCTTTTGGACCTAGACTTGGCACTCCGGTACCGCTTGCCGTGCGGTAGCAGAGAGAACAGTCTATGACTAGGGTGGCTGGAGTCTTTGACAATTTTGAGGGCCTTCCTCTGACACCACCTGGTATAGAGGTCCTGGATGGCAGGAAGCTTTGCCCCAGTGATGTACTGGGCCGTACGCACTACCCTCTGTACTGCCTTGCGGTCGGAGGCCAAGCAGTTGCCATACCAGTAAGTGATGCAACCAGTCAGGATGCTCTCGATGGTGCAGCTGTAGAATTTTTTGAGGATCTGAGGACCCATGCCAAATCTTTTTAGTCTCCTGAGGGGGAATAGGCTTTGTCGTGCCCTCTTCACGACTGTCTTGGTGTGTTTGGACCATGATAGTTCGTTGGTGATGTGGACACCAAGGAACTTGAAGCTCTCAACCTGTTCCACTACAGCCCCGTCGATGAGAATGGGGGCGTGCTCAGTCCTCTTTTTTTTCCTGTAGTCCACAATCATCTCCTTTGTCTTGGTCACGTTGAGGTAGAGGTTGTTGTCCTGGCACCACACGGCCAGATCTCTGACCTCCTCCCTATAGGCTGTCTCATCGTTGTCGGTGATCAGGCCTACCACTGTTGTGTCGTCGGCAAACTTAATGATGGTGTTGGAGTCGTGCCTGGCCATGCAGTCATGGGTGAACAGGGAGTACAGGAGGGGACTGAGCACGCACCCCTGAGGGGCCCCCGTGTTGAGGATCAGTGTGGCAGATTTGTTGTTACCTACCCTTACCACCTGGGGGCGGCCCGTCAGGAAGTCCAGGATCCAGTTGCAGAGGGAGGTGTTTAGTCCCAGGATCCTTAGCTTAGTGATGAGCTTAGAGGGCACTATGGTGTTGAATGCTGAGCTGTAGTCAATGAATAGCATTCTCACGTAGGTGTTCCTCTTGTCCAGGTGGGAAAGGGCAGTGTGGAGTGCAATAGAGATTGCATCATCTGTGGATCTGTTGGGGCGGTATGCAAATTGGAGTGGGTCTAGGGTTTCTGGGATAATGCTGTTGATGTGAGCCATGACCAGCCTTTCAAAGCACTTCATGGCTACAGACGTCAGTGCTACGGGTCGGTAGTCATTTAGGCAGGTTATCTTAGAGTCCTTGGGCACGGGGACTATGGTGGTCTGCTTGAAACATGTTGGTATTACAGACTCATAATAATAATAATAATATGCCATTTAGCAGACGCTTTTATCCAAAGCGACTTACAGTCGTGCGTGCATACATTTTTGTGTATGGGTGGTCCCAGGGATCGAACCCACTACCTTGGCGTTACAAGCGCCGTGCTCTACCAGCTGAGCTACAGAGGACCACAGACTCAGTCAGGGACATGTTGAAAATGTCAGTGAAGACACTTGCCAGTTGGTCAGCACATGCTCGGAGTACACGTCCTGGTAATCCGTCTGGCCCTGCGGCCTTGTGAATGTTGACCTGCTTAAAAGTCTTACTCACATCGGCTACGGAGAGCGTGATCACATAGTCATCCGGAACAGCTGGTGCTCTCATGCATGCTTCAGTGTTGCTTGCCTCGAAGCGAGCATAGAAGTGATTTAGCTCGTCTGGTAGGCTTGTGTCACTGGGCAGCTCGCGGCTGTGCTTCCCTTTGTAGTCTGTAATAGTTTTCAAGCCCTGCCACATCCGACGAGCGTCAGAGCCAGTGTAGTACGATTCAATCTTAGACCTGTATTGACTCTTTGCCTGTTTGATGGTTCGTCGGAGGTCATAGCGGGATTTCTTATAAGCGTCCGGGTTAGAGTCCCGTTCCTTGAAAGCGGCAGCTTTACCCTTTAGCTCAGTGCGGATGTTTCCTGTAATCCATGGCTTCTGGTTGGGGTATGTACGTACGGTCACTGTGGGGACGACATCATCG